AGCCCTAGAAGTTATGTCTTAACCATGTTCTAGACATTGAGCTAAATGCTATATACATGGTTCATTATTTAATCCTCATGATTGTTGTAAAGATTTTTTTAACCAACATATTCCCCAAATGTCTCCTGAATGCTCACCGTGTGACAGGTATTATTTTAAATTTAGGATTGAGCAGTTAACTAAAGAGGGAAAGTCCTTGCCCCCATCAAGCTTACATTCACGTTTATAATAAATAGATGATGCATGATAAATAGTAGAAGGGTATAAAAATTGGTGATATGCTTAAAATAGAAGCATCTTTTTTCTCTTAACATTGTTACTGATTCTCGTGCTTTACTTGTCCATTTTTTTTAATGAGGCCACAGATACAAGACTTAATGCATTACATTTCTGTTTGAAATTCTGAATATCTGGATATTAGGGGAAAAAACACTTTACCTCTGGAAAAATCTAGCAGTGCTTCTTATTTGTTCATTGTATGGTTATGTTGTGTTATTCTTTTTACCTTTCAGTCTTAGAATAACAATAGGAAAACTCCAAAGGTAGCTCACTTAACTTCCCTAGGTCAACTCCAATCCCACTAAATGTCCTAACCAGGAAAGACTAGCATTGCACTGGCTGAGATATCATTCTAGAACGGCAATTCACAGTCTCTGCAGGGCTGATTGACTTGGAATCTAAGCAGAGAGGGGAGAAGTTTAACTTGGTGAAGGCTTTCCTTAAGACAGCATCCAGGAGTGTTTAGTACATATGACCAAGGGCATCTTGTTAAAGTGTAACTGTTGTTGTCATTACTGAAAGAGGTTATGATCTTTCCATTCAGACTGATTGCTGAATGACGTATAAGACAAGCTTATACTTGGCAAATTATGCCTGGATGTTGTTTAGATGTAGAAATATAAACTAAGCAAACACTCGGAATTAAATCAGGTGTTGGTGTGTTTTAAAAGGAAAGAATATTTTCTTTAGGGGTGAATAAAGATAATCTTGGAAAATAAAAGTAATCTTGGACCTTTTAATGTGTTAAATTTATTCAAGGAGAAATTACTAGCATTGTCCATGAGCCAAGGAAAATAATATTTTAAGATTAAAGCCAGACACTGGTGGCTTACGCCTGTAATCCTAGCTACTCGGGAGGCAGAGATTAGGAGGATCACAGTTTGAACCCAGCCTGGGCAGAATAGTTCATGAGACCTTATCTCAATAAAAACCATCACAAAAATGGGCTGGTGGAGTGGCTCAAGGCATAGGCCCTGAGTTCAAACTCCAGTACCAAAAAAAAAAAGAAATACCTGTAGGACTGCCTTTTTTAAAGTTATTTCATTTTCTACATGAGCTTCTAGAATTCAATTATAAATATATAAGTCTTTGCTTAAACACTTCATAAAGTAATTTATACACTAACACTTCCTGGGAGTTTTGCCTCGTATCTCCTTATGATTTATTTTTTCCCAAATTTATGAAGTAGAATATGTCATTGTCCTTGATAAGAAGTGAATCATTTTATACTTATACAAATGTATACACATGTACACACATACACAATCTTTAGACATGATTTTAATGCCCACTAAAATGGAACTAAGAAAGATTAAAAAAAAGGGGGCTGGGGTGTGGCTCAAGTGGTAGAACACCTGCCTAGCAAGCATGAAGCCCTGTGTTCAAGCCCCAGTACCACCAAAAAATGCAATAACAAAAAAAAGAAAGATTAAAAAACAGTAAGAAATTAAGAAATATAAAGAATCCTGCCTTGGAGCTTTGCAGTTCGGTATTTTTCAGCATATGTAATGTTTGCTTTTTTCTTGATCCCAGCACCATCATTTGCTCAAAGCAGACATGGGGACCTGAAGACATATTGGAAGGTAGAATATAGTATGCTCCTTTACCAGCACTTCCAAATCCTATGGTCCAGTCTCTTGAGCCCTACTATGTGTTAAAGAGGATAGATAATGGTAATATAACTTTCTTTTCTGATAAGAAAGCCTTTTCTAGAACAACACTGCAAAGATCAGGAAGAAGAACGTGGCATATGTGACATAAGTCCACAAATTCCAGGAACCTGAGGGAGCAGTAGGAGGCATTGCTGGTGCCCTACAAATCATCTCACCCAACCCTGCCCGATGCTCAGAAATGCTGAATGGCAAGAAACTATTTCTCTTTGCCCAGTTACTGTTAGAAAAATGTAAGGAAAGCCTAAGACGATGTCCACAAAAGCATCTTCGTAGTACATATTTGATCTTGAAGAATACGCTTTCAAGGTTTGTTTTGTTTGTTTTTTTTCAAATCCATGGGAAAATTTATGGCCCAAGGATATTTTCATATTAAGGTTTAGCTTTCAGTATTACTTTTAGAGGCATAATGTGATTTTTATTTAGTGTAGTCATTTTTGGAAGGCACAATATCCATCATTTGTTAATCTAAAGACTTGATGCACTGATTGTAGGGATGGATGTTTTACAAGAATAAATTAAAGTTCTTAGTTTATCTTTTTATTTTCACAAATCTTAACTATTAGTAGGTCTTTGATAGTAGGAATGGTGAAAAATATAAATTGATGCTTGAAGTTACAGGCCAGTGAGTGTTCCTGCTGGTAATTTGTCATAGACCTTTTTATACTACTCGAAAGACTATGTACTCATTGTAAAGCCAGAAAATGTGACAATGAAAATGTGTTAGAAGGAAGTTCATTACTGCCTAAAATATTTACATACAGAAATAGTTGGGTTTAGCCAAAAAGCACAGTATAAGGAGATTGTGCATACATTAGATAGCAAAGTTATAATTATGGAATTCATTCTTTCCTTTGTAAAGGGAAAGATATTATTACTTAAATATCATATACCTAGGGAAATGGTGTGGAAAGCAGGCAAAGCTGGGTTAAGAAGAAAGAGAGAGTGATCCATCAAAATTTAAGAGGAATTCATTTTCTAAAAATACACTAACAGAGGAATTATAGTCGTAAAAAGAAGTTTGAAAATCCCTTAACGATGCTCTGGAACCATCTCATCTGCTAGGTTAAGGAAATGAGGCCCAATGGGTAAGAAACAACTTTTTTTTGGTTAAAATTAGCAATGTAACTTTGGATCTCAAAGTTGTGATGATGAAACATTTTTTTATGGCGATGAATTATTGAATTAAATTCAACAAACTTAATGAGCCTATATGTAAAGTGCTTAGAATAATACCTGGCACATATCAAGCACACTTATAAAGTTATGATAGTTATTATCATTACCTTAAGAATTATTATTATTAAAATTAATAAACTTATTTGTTAATTTTAAAGGACTGTTACTCAGGAGCATATCTTTTATAAGGCAAGATTTGAATTTATTTTTCTTTAGAGATGTCAGAATAATAAGAATTGATCCTAGCATGAAAAATATTTGAATACTTCAGAAAGTACATAAATTAAAGTATATGTTCTTTAGAGCTAAATGCTGAAGAATTAAGAATTCAACTGACAACAAAATCTCTTTGAACTGATTAATTTGATAGCATGTGAGGCCTGAAGAAGGTAAAGAGAAAAATATCAGAATAATGTGCTATTTAGAATAGTGGAATTTTTTTTCTGTAATGGAAACTTAATAATAAAAGAAGGAATAAATACTTAGAAAGAATCCATTTTATATTGTTACACTGACTCCAAAATAAAGTTTTTGAAAATAAGAATGTCATCTGAGTTCTTAGACTCTTTCACTTGAATTCTTAGTCATCTATTTTGCCATCATGAAGTAACTTTTTATATCAAGTTTTAACTTTTTTTTCTTTCCTTAAGATCTTTTAGTTTTGCCTAAAAATAAGTAAAAAACAGTAATCCTTATTTCCATAACTCTTCTTTCCATTTTGCTACCCCCCATGAGCTTACCATGTCATTCCTTTTTTTTTTAACATTCAATCTCTCCAGAAAGTTCCCTACCACAATAGCTCACACCTCTTCCCATCAAATTCCTTACTTAGCTCCCTGAAAGCCTGACTTACATCTCTAGGTCAGTAGCTGTTTTCTTCAAAGTCACTTACGCCCTGTATGTCTCCAAATCTATAGCCCTTTTACGTACTTAGACTAATGAAACTCTTTACATCTTTGACTCGCCCAACTTTTGTGAATCTCATTCTTCTCTTGCCTTCTATGGAATTAACCCTAGTCTATTTTTCATATTTCTGAGAATATACCTTTTATTACCCTCAATCATTTCTCCTCTTCTAACCTTCAAATACAGATATTCCTTGAGCTATCTTCTTAAACTTTTATTATTTCTCCCTCCGTACACTCTTGGCTGGCCTACCTCAGCCATCCTCCTAATTTCATCTATCCTTTTTTGTTCCAGTATTTATTGCCTGTTCCCATGAGCCCTTGCCCTAAGAGCACAGCTTTGTTCTGAATCTCTCCATCAGGACATTCCATTGATCTCCCATGTTGATCATTTCTACAGCAGCCCTCCTTGGACAAATGCATTTGCTCTGTAAAGGCTGAAGTTTTCTGTTGTATAAAAACTGTCATAGGTTTACATTACTACTCTCAGCCCCTAACACCTTATAATTTGGCCAAGCTGTGCTATTCATCTTTATAATATTTATAATACTCTTTTCTCTTTACAATTTTTCTTTTTCCCTGCACTTCATAGTTTTAACCCATCATTTGATATCCATGTTCCTGATATCTGATTTTCAATACTCACTCTCCCTCTAGTAAAATCTCTTAGCACTGTTTTATGTCCCTATTCTCTAATAATTTAATTCTTTTTTCTTTTTTTACTAATTTTGTAAGCATTTTCAGTCTTGTTTGAATTCTTAACTATATGCTTCTTAGATAATGACTGTGTCTCACTCATTGTTTTTATTCACTCCAGGGCCAAAGCTACCACTTGCCTAAGTAGAGCCTTTGCACAAATTAGGGGGGAAGAAGTGTTTCTCTGTTAGAAATACACACTTGCTTTGAACAGATTAGCTAGAGAAAATTCTCTATGTGGAGGAAAAAAAAAATTCTTTCTTCCCTTAAGTTTCAGCCCCCGTGTAGGAGCATAGAACACAGGCATCAGTTCAGCCCCCATTTGCTCCCTTGGGACCCAACATCAAGTAGGTGCACAGGAAATCTTTGCTAAAGGAATCAGTTAATTAGCACCAAGATGTTTACCATGGTAAAAATTATCTGATCCAGAATATTTGAAGGCCTGAAAATTTAAGGGGAATAAAAAAGAAATTAGGTCATGTCTCTGAGGATAATACTTCACTGAAATTGGAAAAGAGATGCAGTGTTTATAAGATGCATGTTGCAATGAAAACACTTTAAAATCATAATTCTTGTGTGAATTTGTATCTTAAATCAACAGTGAATGAAATCAAGTGACATTTATCATTGAAACATGAGTATTTTGCATGTAGTTTTGTGTTCAGTTGGTTTTGGGTGAAAGACAATACAACTAAAGAGAGTTCAGGAAAATGAAATGAACAACAAAAAGACATTGAAAAGTTATCATACAAGAATGTACAAAATAAACAGTTAGAAACCTGAATAGTACCAGGTATGGTGGGACATATCTGTAGTCCAGTCCACTCAGGAGGCTGAGGCAAAAAGATCATTTGACTCCAAATCTACCCTAGCTTACATGGTAAGAACTCAGCTAATAAACCAAATAAAGCCCAAAAAAAAAAAAAAAAAAAAAAGAACCATGAGCACTTTGTAATAAACACAGAGAGAAACACACTCTTATAAATTAGTAAGTTTGAATTTTTCCTTAAAATTAACCTTCTTCAAACTCATGGTAGAGAAGGGTGTATTAGTCAACAATTAGAGGAGAACTTATGAATTCAAGAGATTCTGGATTAAGAAAGGGCAGATTTAAGAATTTAAGTAAATATTTGAAAGTTCAATTCCTAAAGGAACTCTTTTATTGATGTAGCCATACTTTAATTACACATTTCTCATTTTTTATGGAAGATAGCCAAGACCTTTCCAAGCAGCTCTCTGATATTGATATTTAGAGGTAAAATAGTGAGTTGGATCCCAAATCACTTATTGTACAATAACCTATGCAGTATCTGTTCTTAGGGCAACTCTGGTCTACTATCTGAATAGGCAGTTAAATAAGAGTAAGTCTTACAGGACATAATTTTATTCTAAGTCATCTCTCTCTGATTTCATTTTATACTCCATGATGGTTTTATAAGTTTCCTATAATAGCCAAGCTTGTTGCTGCATCTAGACATTTGCACTTGCTATTCTTTAAGCCTAAGACATTCTTCTTCCCCATGACTTGACTTCATCATTCAGTACTCAGCCCAGTTGTCTCCTCTTTTGGTGCCTTCCTTGACCACTCTACTTAGTGTCTTGCCCCTAAGCTTTTCAGTCCCTCATTATCATTTTATTCTACCTTCTTTTTTCCACATCACACTCACTATCTGAAACTATCATTTATTTACTTATTTGTTATTTTTCCTGGTGTCAACATTAATGAAAGCTCTTCTCCTACACATCTAATTCTGAGACTAGTGCCTGCTATGTAGTAGGTACAAAGTAAATGCCATTTAAATGAATGATCAAATCCTGGGAGTAAAATTAAAAGGGAGAAAACTTCAAAGGAAGACATGCATCCTTCTGAGAAATTTTTAGTATGTGGGACTTTTAGGCATTAGCAGGCTGTTGGGAAAGGAATTTCAGAAATTATAGACCTCTCAGGTACTCCTTAATCCATAACAAATAAGCAGTGACCTACTTACACTGTTACTATGGGACACTGCTTCCTGCAGTGACTGTAATCTAGGAAGATGTTTTTGACCTTAATTTGTTAATTAGCTAAATATTTTTTTCTTGCTCTGGACATTAATTTTGTGACACAGACTCACACACATACCCTCTAACACACTGATAATACTGTATTAATGCATAGCATTTTAATAAAATACATTTATATACATATCTTCATTAATATTAAAAATCCTAAACCTCTGATTTCTGTCTTTTGATCCTCAGAAATCAAAGAATTAACATGGGAAACTCAGCTTTTCCATACTCTTCAGAGAGAGAGAGAGAGAGAGAGAGAGAGAGATTTTCTTCAATGTTTAACTTAATTGTGGTTTCTTGATATTAGAATTGGTCTTTGGAATTTCAGTTATACACCCAAACAAGTTCTTATACAGCCACATACACATTTTATGTGTTGATACTTCCCAGTAAATTAAAGAGACTGTATTATATCATTTTTGCATTCCCATGTTTATGATGGCAGGTGTTCAGTAAACATTTATAAGCAAATGATTTCCACTTTACTAGCCTAAAACTGTAGATGGTCATTTGAATTAAAGTGAAATAAAGCTTATGAAATAGAAAATGAGGATAATTATTTCAGGTTCCACATATGAGAAAAAGAATAGAATTTAATAGAGAAATTTTTCATGAGAATATTAGACAGGAACAGGTCTTCTTAGTTTCTCCTGCAAGTCAGAATTCAAGAAATAGCACTTTATAATCCAGATATCTGCCCAGTGGACTGCTAGCATTTACAGCCAAGAATGAGTTACAGCCGGATGTGGTGATGCACATCTATAATCCCACACTCAGGAGGCTGAGGCCAACTTGGCTACAAAGCAAGTTCCAGGCTTGAGCTATATAGTGATACCCTGTCTCAAATTTAAAAAACCAACAAATAAACAAACAATAAGCGTAAATTATAATAATAGTAGATTAACTCTTAGCACCGCCTCCAGAAGCACAGTAATAGGAAGGGAAAAGAAACAAGCTTTTCAAGGTACCATAATGTTTGGTGCTTGGCCAGTTCCACTTCCATCTACTTCCTCTCTGACTGTCTTCTCTGTTCCCGTGCTGTAGTCCCCATACTCCAGTATATTGACTGCTGGACTCTCTATCCCTCTACTCACCAAAATCTGAATCACACCAGTCTCCAATTCGGGAATTTGCTCTTAACCTCCTTCCCAGTTCTCAACATGGTGAAGTATTTGTTGAGGCATGGCTATTTGTTCTATTTACAGTGTTACTCTCCTGCCCATGGTCTTACAGACTCAGAACTAAAGCCTTAGTCATATTCATTCAAACCTATCCATTAAGACTTCTGGCCCAATAGCCTATAAACTTCATTTGATTTCATCACACATGGTGCTTAGCCCTGATATGTTATTTATGCCTTTGGGCCATATTAACAAAGATTTCACTTGCCTTTTAGATATTCATCATCTTCCTCTTAATGAGTGGCAACACTAGATTCACCTTTTAATTTTTTTCAAGATAGAACTTTTCAACGACTATAGTTTTGTCCCAAAATTGATCATTTGATTGGCAGTTTTACATTTTACTTTGATAACACAAGATGTATAAAGTTTTTATTATTTTTCTATACAAAAATTAGAAAACATGCACAAAACAATATTTAGAAAATTAGGAACATTATCTCTTTCTGAAACTGAGCATCTTGTATATAATATTACAACACAATAATCTGTTAGGGGCCATATGTGGGTTGAATAATTTTACTCATGTAAAGAAAAAATGATGTTTGTTCCAGCTTGCTCTTTTAATTTGTCCCTTTCTTTTTATTTCATTTTTTTCTTATTGTCAACACTTTTTAATGCTCATTCTAAAAAACCAAAATGAACATTAAAAATATAGCTAGGAAAATTTAAAACTCCTTGAGCACAAAGTTTACAGCATATCCTTCCAAGTTTTTTGCTATGTATATGTATAATTCCCCTAAAAACATAACCATTCTGAACCTATAATTTTATTTTTCTTTATATTCCTGTTAGTCCCCTCTTCTGCAGGTAACTGATACATCATCTCATGAATCCAGGCTTCCCAAAATGTCTAGTTTAGCAAGAAGTACATCTGTATTTCTTTTTTAATGAATTTTTCTCTTCCACTCATATAATGGGAAGCCTGAATTCAGATGAATCCAGAGTTTGAATTCATCTATGTCCCCTAAGAGTAAAATGAATTCGTATTTAATGTGTATGTCAGCCAAACTAAAACTACAAACACCTGCTTCCCATCTTCCATCAAGAGTGTCTTTTTAAGTCAATAACTATTTATTTATGTATACATTTTCAAAAGTACATTCTATTTTATTGATGAATATAATTTACTTAAACTGGACATTTACAGGTTTTTCCCTTTTTTACAATTATAATCAATTGTGCAGTAAATGTCATTGTAGATAAATCTGTATACATTGTTGAATGTTCCTTTATGATAAATCTTAGAAGTAGAATTGCGGGGTTAAAGGTTAGGTATGTTTTTTAAAAAAGAGAGAGAGAGAAACTTTTAACGTGTATCACCAAATTTCTCTTGGGAAACCATATTTCCAGACTCCTTACATCTTCACCTTTAAAGAATTGCTAATGTGACAAGTTCATGCTTTCTAAACTATAGTGAGAAATAAAATCATATTTATACATTCAAAGTATTATTACTTCAAAGTATTCCATAAATCAAGAATCCCAAAACTAAAAATTTTTGGTTGGTAGCTTGTAAGCTGCCAACATTTTTTGTTTGTTGTTTTACAGGTTATCCGGTAAGGAAAGAAAAAGAAACCAGTAGTAATATCCTTGCTCCCCTCAAAACACCTCACTGGAGCACAAGTATTCATAAACTCACCCCTGGTACTCTCTAAGTTTCTAGGAGATGAAAAGTAGATACATCTTTTAAAACATTTACGTTTTGTGAGGGAGGTAACCTTTGTAAATTATCATAATTGTTAAGTTGAAGAGAAGTGCACTTCTGTAAAATCAAATTGGGATGACAATATTCATGTCTATCTGTAAATTGCTTCATCAATTACAGTTAGCATTATTCTTGATTTTTTTTTTTTTTTGGCACTGGAGTTTGAATTCATTGCTTGCTAGGCAAGTGCTCTGCCACTTGAGCCATGCTCCCTGACCATTGATTAAAATTCTTTGTAGCCCTTATATTCAACCATGAAAACCACAATGCAAAAATCCCAAGATGTAATAAGAAATATTTTGTGAGCATATCTTTGATAGGTAATAGATTAGGTTGTTCTTTAGGAAAGTGTATGTTTATCGTGCAAATTCCTGTATAAATGAAGCACTAGGTTAGTCTGACTATGAGACATATGTTGTTTGTTTTTAAATCCTTTGTCTGAACTAAACTTTGGCCTTTCTAGCTATGTCACTCTTTTTCTGATTGCAGCGTACTATAAAAATCATGTGCTGCCTCTTTGTGTTTATTTGTCCCAAATCTGTGACATAAAAGATATCTAGGAAACTAAGCATTTCTTAGGTAAAGTGAACCTGGAAGTCATTCCAGTTCCAGGTTTGACAGATGCTGAATGGATGAGGATGGTGGTAATGATATCAATGAGAAGGAGAAATGTATCAGGCATTTTGCTTAGTACCTTGCTGATGCTTTCTCATTTGTTAAATGAGGAAACTTTGTAACAGGGTCAAACACTTCTTTTGGTCAGTAAAGCCAAAGATCAAACCCTCCAGGTCCTGACTCTCAGTGTAGTCCAGTCTCCACTATGTAATATGACTATGTTAAAATCACTTTAGACATTGTAACCTTGAAAGCATCTTTAATTTATAATGACAAATATCATTTCTATTGATGCTATTAAATATTTTATAAGGCATGTTGAAGGACTTTAACCTTATCAACCGTCCATATTCCCTAATAATGACATTTTACTTAGGACACGTTGTTCTTTTAAAATAAAAACGGAAAATAAACTGTCCTTGTTTCGTAAATGCGGAAGCTAGAGCTCAGAGTGGAACCAACATTTTTTGAGAGCAAATCAGTTAAGTAGCAAAAATGCAATTCAAGCCCATATCTGTTTGCCTCCAAAATTCTGTTTTACTCTATTACTGCTTTTTAAAGAATAGCAAAATCAAACAAGCTTTAAACCTATTAGATTTCACACTACACATACACATTTTCTCCTCCCTTCTTCTCTCTCTCTTCTCTCCCTATATGTATACTTCATTTCTTCTTAAAACTAATGGAAGGGATAAAATAGTAAACTCCCTTGTATTTTTTTTTTAATTTCACACTAAGCCTGTCCCCTTCTAAGTACTTGGAGAATATGTACGTAAATTAATGAAATTAACATACAGTCCTAACCTGCAAAACTCACTGAATTTACTTTAATGAGTCAATTTTTAATTATCATATTTTAAATGATATATAAAGATATTTGTTTCTTGACTTTGTATTCTTTCTTTTGTTTAAGTGTTAAACACATTTAATTTCATAATTATTGGTTTAAATCTATATTCCAAAAATGAAGAAAGATTTCTCTCTTATATTCAGAACCAACTTATTAGAATCGACTTAAAGCACAAACTATGACTTGTTAATATGAAGTTAAAAATTGATAATACAGGGCTGGTGGAATGGATCTGTGGTAGAGCTCCAGCCCAGCAAGCATGAAGCTCAGAGTTCAAATCCCAGTATCACCAAAAAAATTAAAAAATAAAAAGATTAAAAAACTGATGCTATACAAGCTGTCCCATTACTGCAAAACAGGCTACTTTCTTCATATACTCCCAGATTTATGGAGGCCAGCTGGATAACCTGTTCCAAGATTCTTTACCTCTACTCTCTTACCATGTCTCAGGAATTGTGGGAAAATATAGTCTTTTCTTGAATTACTCTCGTTGGCAGTATTACTCTTGCAGTAGGTCATCAGTCAGCTCACATGCTTCAGTGATTCATTAATTTCTTTCTGACCACATTGTCTAGAAATCTGGTAATGATTTTTCTTTCAAAAGAATGCAAGAGGGAAATCTTTATTTTGGAAATATAGACTTAAACCAATAGTTAGGAAATTAAATAAAGTGAAATAACTTATTTTTAACTTAAAACTAATGAAACTATCAAAACTCTGTTAGAAAATGTAACCATTATTAGATAAAACAATGTGTTTTCCATAAAATGAGAAATTTGTTTTTAAAGGGTCACTCTTAGCAAGTAGAAACCATAATTTTTGGCATTTTTTTGTAACATTACCCATGTGTCTAATTTCTTTTTGAAGGCCAAATAGTAGAGTAAGTTAGAGAAGGGTGCTTTTAGAAACTCCTTTCATACGTTGTACTACTTATACAAAAACACATTTGCCCTTGCAGCACATAATATTTGAAAAATTTTAAATCCTACAAATATGTTCCTAGATATTAAGATTTAATTGTACTCCAGATGTTTCATCTGAGATGCCTTTTCTCTCTTTCTCTTTCTACTTTCATCCTCACTTTTAAATGATCCATCGATGGACAGCGTCTTTGCATCCAAAATGCAAAGCAGACAGATGGGTGCGTCAGGGAAGAACATGACCAAAAGCACGAGCATCAGTGGAGACATGTGCTCGCTGGAGAAGAATGATGGCAGCCAGTCCGACACTGCAGTGGGCGCTTTGGGTACCAGTGGCAAGAAGCGACGCTCTAGCATTGGGGCCAAAATGGTAGCTATTGTTGGTCTCTCACGGAAAAGTCGCAGTGCTTCTCAGCTCAGCCAAACGGGTAGGAATCTTCATGTTACTTTTGACTTCATATATGAGTTGTCATTACAATACATTCTTTGTTCTTTTCGCTTACTCATTTTATTGCAGTAATGTGTGGCTGATGACATGTTCCAGAGAGGAAGGGGTATTTCTTAACTACTCAATGTTTGGAAACATAACAGTGTTTTTTTGCAGTGACCAACCAGCCAGCTTCAAAGTGAACGTTGGCCACTGTTCTTGAATTGTGTGTCTTTCCTCCTCAAGGAGGTGTTAAGCTGTGGTACCCTACTGCCAGCCAGTCCCTGATCTTTTGTAAGAGTGCTCTGACCTGTGGGATATTTGCTTTTCTTTAGGTTCCTCAAGTTGGAACCAGCCAAATTAATTTTCATTCTCAGCAATTTGCCTTGAAGACAACACCTCGTGTGTGAATGATACAGTTCTCTCACTGCTGATAACCTAACTTCCTTTTCAGTTTGAAAGCAACATTTACCAGTAGTATGAATTTTCTCATCACAGTTTTTATTTCCCTACTAAAACTTCAAGCAGCAGTATGTTCCAGCAGCAGGGATGGAGGGATTTTTCTGCTGACAGTGAAGATATTCAAAGCTTTGCTACTTTAAAACTCCATTTCTAAATCACATCTGCAAAAATAAATTATATAGAACTCTTCTATTGAGAAAAGCCACTGCTAGCAATTAAGAAAATGTGTGAGCCATAGCAATGTCATTTGTCAAATGGGTGTTGATAATTAAACATTAAACCCCTGGTATCTTGAAAATAATAACATATCTTCTACTGAACAAACAAAAGCATCTAATATGGTGTTTCTTTTAAAGCAAAATAAATTGTAGGCAACTGGATTAAATCTAATTGCAGTTTGAATACTAGGGCTGTTGTACACAGAAATCAGGATATAAATGTACTGCGCAAAATAATTTATGGTTGCATTATTACTGGACCCGGCTAATCCTGGTTTTACTAACTGTAACAGTGATTCTGGAAATTAGACCTTACATGATAATATTATAGTGAAATAGTTACTTGATGATATTCCTTAAATTTCAGTTGTAACTTAATATATTTAATGTGATTTGGTTATGGCAATTTTTCATTTGGTGTTTTAAGTGTTATTTTTCATTTTAATGTAGAAATAGCTTAATATGTGGACAGTGGACATATAGATCATTTTAAATGATTTTAAAAACTGCTTATATTTATATGTAATTATGTTGTGCTGGTATGAAATATATGTTGGCCTTTTTATATTGAGAGGTGATTTTAAATTTCTTTCACAAGTAGAATTTTATTGCATTTTCCTCTTTAAGAAGAAAGCATCTGTAAATCTGAAGCTGCTCTAAAAAGGAGACTGAATTAAAATTAGGAACCTAAAATGGAGACAAGACTACAAGTTGGGAAGTTGGGGGAGGGGTGGGTAGAGAAAGGTTGATCAGTAGTTACTATGTTGCAATTAGCGGGAAGCAAGAAATTCCAGAATGGGCTGGTGGGTGGCTCAAGCCCCAAGAGCACCTGCCTAGAGAGCATGAAACCCTGAATTCAACCCCCAATGCTGCCAAAAAAAAAAAAAGTTCTGCAGTTCTGTTGCATAGTAGTAATTAAAGATAACAGTAGTGTACTGTACACTTGAAAAAGCTGTAAGAAAGGACTTAAGAAGTTTTTGCCATAAAGACATGATAAATGTTTAAGGAGATCTATGTATAACCTGATTAAACATTACCTAGTGCATACATGTATTCAGATGTCACATCATACTCCATTAATATGGACAATTTTTATGCTTTTATAAATCAGTTAAAATTTTAATTTGCATTTTAAAAATCAAAAAAATAAGACAAGTTAGATGGTCGTTAAGGTAGATAATTAATTCGATCCATTAAAATTTGTTTGATGAATAGCAAACATTTTCTGTGTACCAGACACATCAAGAACAAAGAGTAAGAAATTGTTTTTAACATAGGCGTCCTAAAATTTAGTCAGAGACAGATATTTAATCATATTATTTCAAGGAATGTGTCAGTAGTAAAACTAGAATTACACAGAAGCTGCACTGGATGCTCAGAGGAAGGTCACCATCCTGCCTTAGAATTCTAAGAGCTCAGTCCTGATCACAGAACTCAATTCAGTGATTGGAGTGACTGCTAGCCAGGTAAAGGATAATTAGAAAGGTTCTCCAAACAGAAGCCATAATGAACCAGGTTCACAGGCATGATATGTACAGGAGCAATAAGCAGTTATTTATAATTTTAACAGAAAATGCGGGACTCAGTGGCTTGAGACAAGACTGGTAAGTAGAAAACAAGTCATAAAAAGCCCTGTGGGTCATGTTTCCTATCACAGATGATAGAAAACTATAATTTTTGGACTGTTTTTAATATTGTCATATTTGCACTTTGTAGTTTTTTGACCATTCAGACAGACATTTATTTATGTAAAAAATACTGAGCATCTACCTTATACCAGGGACTGATTACCCTAAAAAAACTTGAGAAAACAGGTCCTTTTCCTCTGAGAGGTAACACGCTAGTGGGGCTATGATGAAGTAAAAGTTCACATCTGGCAAGGAGCATTTTAGGATGAATTAGCAGAATAGTACAAAAACTCAGACAAGAGATAAGATCTTGTGTTAAGTCAATTTGAATGAAAGTAGAGAGGGAGTTGATAGATTCGGGAACTTTTTTTTTTTTTTTTTTTTAGTGGGACTGGAGTTTGAACTCAGGGCGCCACGTTTGCAAAGCAGGTGCTCTACTGCTTGAGCCATGCCTCCAGTCTATTTTGCTCTGATCATTTTGGAGATAGGATTTCACAAACTATTTCCCCATGCTGGCCTCCACCATAATCTTCCCTATTTCAGTGTCCATAGTAGCTAGGATTACAGGCCTGGGCCTTGAGCACCCAGCACGCTCAAGAAATTTTTAGAGTACCATTAGTACTCAGTCACCTGAGTTAGTGACTGATTGTATATGAGATGGTAAAAAGAAAACATTTGAAAATGTCAGTCATATTCCTGCATCATCAGGTGAGTGGTGGTGTCACTAGTGGGTACTGGATAACTAAGAAAAAGGAGTAGGTTGATGAAGAATGAAAAGGCATGAGTCTTTGATTTGGAACATTTTGAATTTGTTTTGTCTGTGGAAATTTCCAAATGGAAATGTCTAAAACATATTTAAATAGCTACTTCTGAAGCTAATGTCAGAATCAGGGCCATAAATCTGGAGCTATAAAGTTTTGATGATACTTAAAATTGTGAATGTGGCTGAAATTGTCCAATTAGAACACTATAGATAAAAGAGCAAGATAATACCTTGTGGAAGACTGAATTTGAAAATTGTGCAGAGGAAGAAGAGTACAGAAAGAAGATCAAGAAGGAATCATCATGATGAAAGGACAAAAACTCAGGGAATAGTGTCACAGAAGCTGAGTGCAGAATTCAAGAAGAGAAATGGTCAATATTTCTCTTTGATCAATTTCTTGTCTAACACTGGTGTTAGACAATTTTGGCATAAATATCCCATGTATCTTTCTTTGTTGGTATTTTTATTATAAAATTATAGATCTTTTACCATGCACTGAACATTGTGTAACACCAATGATTTGGTTGTCATGCTTGACTCGTTATGGGTTTTTATCTTTGAAAACAGTGTGATGTTAGCAGGCTTAAGAAATGTAGTCTTCTTCCTTGTCATATAACCCCCTCCTATATACCACAGAGCAAACAAAAGACCCTTTTGTCATTGTCTTTATTATTCAGTGGAACCATAATGGTTAAAATTTTTAATTCTTAAATTTTTAAAATAATTCCTACCCACCTAATATCTTTCACCTGTGACAATAGAGTTTAGATTACCTTTCATCTTAAAGCCTTAGTTTAATAATGGAATAGCCAAGAGATTGTTCTACAATTATTTGATTCCAGATTTTCAGTGAATTTTTAAATTCTATATTTGTGTTAATGTGTATATGTTTCAAGTGGGGCTTTTATGTTTTGTTTGCTTATGAAAAATGTAATAATAAGCTCCGATAGTATTTAAAACTGGAATCTTCAAATTTAACTATTGATGATCTATTCAAATAGCTTAGATATTAAATTATCTATAATAATAAACTAATGATGTTGGCTCCTTGGTTCAGATATAAATATATAAGGTAAAAATGTATATACATAAATATATATTGAGTAGCTTACCTAAAACCAAAAAATTCTATGCATGTTTTCACCTAGTATGTTTGAATATTCAAAAATTCATTTAATATTCTCTTGATTTTCCTGGCTTCTATGTGATCTACATGTTGTTAAGTTAAAGTCTTATTCAATGAATGACATATTTTCAATTTTTAAGATGACCTTCATTACTGTAAAAAGTAAATATCATCATACCACTATGGATCTTAAGACCTGCCTTCTGAAGAACAAAAGAATCATCAAGATGGGATCTTCCTAAAGATTAGTGAAATGGTTCTGAGTGATATCACCTTGATTATATGGGAATAATAATTGGCAAAGGAGAATCCCTTTATGAAGCTATGTCAGCTGTCACACATAGCTGCAAAGTCCTGTTGTTTATCTGCCACACCATGTTGTGTGCGCCTTTGCCTGTTAATGGAAATTCACCTTTAAAAATCATCATTTCTAAAGAATTAACTAACTTTACAAGCATCATAATCTATCAGAAAGCATAGAAGATTTGGATTCTATTTCTTGCTCTGGGTTATATATGTAAATATGCCTGTTTTTAAAACCTACCCAATGTATTGAGTCTTAGTGTGTTCATCTGGCAAACAAAATTAATCCTTGCTGTCAAACAAAATTTGAAATGCATAAGAAATTGCTTTGAAAACTTAAAATCACTTGGTAGATGAAGGTACCAAAATAGCCAATTCTGTCTTGAGGGAATCTAGAGTTCTATTTTATACATGTTGATAATTTTTGAGATGCTCATCAGACATCTAAATACAGTTGTTTTATGATTAGTTAGATAGATGAATTTACAGCCCAGTAGGTCT